TTTCATATTTTGGGTTATATCCTCTTTTTTTTTTCTCTAAAAAAACCCAGGTCTAAACCTGGACTAAGCAAAGACTAACCAGGACGAAACCATGTCTCAAACAGGATTTAACAGGACTAAATCATGCTGCGTGGACGTGTCTCCTCCTCTTCAATCAATAATATTTTTAATTTGGTTAAGTAAAGTCTGGGCTTTTTATTTTCTTTTAGCCGACAAAACATCTTATGTTACGATTTCCTCGTCTTTGTTTCTCTACAGCAAATCAACTAATCCAAAGTATTCAGATTACGTTACTCACTTTAAGTAATTTAATGGATTACGTTACAAACTACATTTTGGGGTATGTCATCTGTAATTTGTAGGGGGATACATTTTAAAAGTAACCTTCCCAACACTGGATATAGATATAGATATGGATAGTAAAAATTGACAATATACTACTACAATAATTGCCTACTACTGCCTGAGATAAGGGGTATCCTGGGGGAAAAAAAAAAGTGGCAGAAAAGCACCTTTGCAATACAGCCGATACGATCCGAAGGGAATTCTCCCAGGAATCTGATTTTTTGACACATTCATTTGGTAGAAAAGCACAGACTCATTCAGTGTTCACAAACAAAATATTCTCATAAGGGAGCTCTTTCTATCACTGAAAGTTACTTATTTCAGCGTTAAAATACTGATAAATGCTATTCTACAACTACCCATCACTACAGCAAACAGAAAAGACACAATGCAGATACACACACTACATGTTCGTAGACGTTGGTGTGTTTGACTTTGTCTCCTGCGTCGTAGGTCACATGCACAGTGTACGCAGTGAAGAGCAGAGGGGTCCCAGAGACTTTCAATGAGGCCAAACCCATCGGCTTCACCATGTACACCACCTGCATCGTGTGGCTCGCCTTTGTGCCAATATTCTTCGGCACGGCTCAGTCCACAGAGAAGGTGAGTCTGTCTCGGCATCACTCTGGAGCATAGACTGTATAAAGAAGTGGACTAAAGGAGTGTGACGTCACCCATAACATTCATCTCCAGTTAAAAGGCTGCCAACCTGCCCCTTTGACCACCACCAATAATCACACACGCCGCTTTCATACTAGGTAAAGTGGGCGAAGTGTCTTGCATAAGGACATAATAACAATTTTGTCACTGGTGCCCCACTGTGTTAACTAAAATTCCCAGCAGTCTCCCATCCAAGTACTTACCATTCCCAACCTGGCTTAGCTTCTGAGATCTGACAAGAGCAGGTTTTGACAAAGAAGTTTGGGTTGTTGACAAAGGGACAAAATAAAAACACCAGGATCATGTAGAGCAGGTTAATACAAATATTTTAAAACCAAAATTCTTCCGTTTAAAGTGAACTGGAGCCAGAGTCGATGGATTGTTTGCATGCTCACTTCCTATTTGGATTACAATGGCCATTTGAATACGTAGTCTATGCTCTGGAGCTTGTTGCTGTATTGATCATGAAAACACAAAGAATGTACCATTGTAGGACTAGTAAACAGGGTAATGAACTCAAACCGAGTAGTGTAGAATAATAATACTGGTAAGAAGTAAAAATGTCTGATAAATCTTACTCACAAGACTTAGAAACCATGACAGAGGGCAAATATGTGTGTAGTTTACAGGTATTGTATGTCTTCACCAGCATGAACTGGTGACTTCAAATCAACATTAACTATGCATTTGCTCCAGGCGAGACTTGAACTCACAACCTCAGCATCACTCTGCAGGCTACTGTCTTATAAGCACCGCACGCTGACCGATTGCACCACTGGAGCATGGAGTATGCTGCCTTGTATTAATTTTATTTCCTACCTTTGTATAAAATCCATCCATCCATTTTCTTCCGCTTATCCGGGGCCGGGTCGCGGGGGCAGCAGTCTAGGCAGGGACTCCCAGACTTCCTTCACCCCAGACACATCCTCCAGCTCCTCCGGGGGGACCCCGAGGTGTTCCCAGGCCAGCCGAGAGACATAGTCCCTCCAGCGTGTCCCGAGCCACCTCAACTGGCTCCTCTTGACATGGAGGAGCAGCGGCTCTACTCTGAGCTCCTCCCATTTGACTGAGCTCCTCACCCTATCTCTAAGGGAGCGCCCAGCCACCCTGCGGAGGAAACTCATTTTGAGCGCTTGTATCCGCGATCTCGTCCTTTCGGTCACTACCCAGAGCTCATGACCATAGGTGAGAGTAGGAATGTAGACTGACCGGTAAATCGAGAGCTTCGCCTTTCGACTCAGCTCCCTCTTCACCACAACGGTCCGATACAGAGACCGCATCACTGCAGACGCTGCACCGATCCACCTGTCAATGTATTTATTATGTATAAAATATCAGAATAAATACATCGGGGAAAAATATGAAAACATGAAATGACTTGATAGAATATTCAAGGTCAAAACATGTTGTGAGTTGTTACTTGGAGAGTAAGCAAACCCCAGTCAAGTTGGAGGAAACATGGAACAATTGATGTGAAGAGATTAGAAACTGAGTCCAAATGTATGAGATGGTTTTGCTGTGGGTGTAACGTGGATATATGTGCAAGGATTTTTTTAAGGCTTGACCTGTCTTAAAAGTTTGACATAGGGAGCCCAGGGAAAAGAGGAGGGTTGAAGGCAGTGCCAGCGGACATGCAGTGGGTGTGTGAGAGGAGAAGGCAGGCGTGTGACTTTGGGCCAATCCCATTTCTAAATTCTACCCCTAACCCTTACCAATTGTCCCTTGAAACAGAGCAAGAACTGTTAGAGGTTAAAAGTAAACCCCTACGAACTTGGAGACCCCTTCAACAATCACATACGTCATCAGTGTTCTCCGCCAGCTTTTACGTAAGCAGACACGTCAAGCCTTACTACTTTCCCAAACCCCTCTGCCATAACGGTGACTGGGACACCCCTACTCCTACACGTGAACGCGCAAAATGTAGGGGAAAGTGGTATGGCCACCATAACCAAACCAAAAATAAGAAAACGAAAAAACAACTATTTTCTTCATTATTTGTCTCCAAAACCAAAATGAAAAAAAAAAAAAAAAAAACAGGAAGCGATTAGTTTTTCCAGTTTTTGATTTTGTGTTTAAATGAATAATGATAAAAACAGATGACGTCATGAAGTGATGAAAACAGATCCCGTTTTCATGACTTAAACTGTGATGCTGGACTTTTGAGCCGCATAGGGACTGAACCAGGAGTATCGGAACAGGCCTGGAGATGTTCCCACGTAGACTGTCAGGTGATCAGGACTGAGACCAGGACCAGATTGAGATCATACTGGGACTGAGACTGGGACTGAGACCAGGACCGAGACCACTTTAGTCCTGGTTTAGTCCTGGTTTCCGGCATCTCAGTTTAAGTCACTGAAACGGGAATCGGCCGTTATCCATTTTTTCCATCATTCATTTAAACCCAAAATCTAAAACTGAAAAAACAAATCGTTTTTCGTTTTTTCATTTTGTTTTTGGAGGCAAATAATGATGAAGAAGAAGTAGTTTTTTTCGTTTTCTTATTTTTGGGTTTTATTTTGAAAAATGAATGAACGAATGATACACAGATTTGAGTGGTGCAAGCATCTCCTCTTTGTGTTCGTAAAAGTTTGCCCAAATGAGTAAGTATGACATCATTAGATCATCACTAAAAACGTTCACCTGAATTCACTGTCTGAGGTTATTGATAACAGGTCGGGTTTATTGGGCCATAATTAAAAAGAGAAGATGAAATGGAGCATGCTGTAGCCACAAAAAAGCACTACTGCAGTAATTATACCCCCAAAGTGGAGCGCTGTGGGATTAACCAGATTATACACCAAAATAATTATAATCTCCCCTTCAAAAAAACTCATTTTGGTATGTTGAAAACATTGCTTCAAAACCTGCACCGGATTTGGACTACAGTGAATGAAATTTATAGTTTTGAAAGGAGTCTGGCTAAAATCCAGGATAGCAAATAGAGACTGGAGAGGTAAACCTTCAAACAGGTTTTCTAAAATGGATTGATTTTTGTGTGGCATGAAATCCTTGAGATTCAATACGCAGAAGATGAAAGATGGTGCTTGCAAAGAACCAGAAGAGCTGTGTGCCATCCAGGTGTTTATAGACCTTCAAAATCCAGCTGGATTGATTGTCTACAAAACAATATGTGACTAGTTTTCTAATGATTTGCAAAATTAGTACATCCTGTATTTTGTGTATATGAAAACAAGAGACCTCCTCCAGTTTGTCTCCATGGAAATGTTGTTGCTTTGAAAGAAAAAATGTACCTACTCCACCTGATTGTGAAGAAGTAATATTCACGTTACCTGTCATTCAGCTGTCAGTCAGTAATGTTCTTGCACCTGTCTCCTCAGCTGTTCATTCAGACTGCCACCCTGACCGTGTCCATGTCCCTCAGTGCCTCCGTGTCTCTGGGGATGCTCTACATGCCCAAAGTTTACGTCATCCTCTTCCACCCCGAGCAGAACGTGCAGAAGAGGAAGAGGAGCTTCAAGGTACCACAGTTACCACAGTTTGCATTTTTGTTTTTCCCAACGATAAAAGAGTCTACAAAAATTAGCCTAACGTTAGTTTAGAATTACAGACATTTTAAATTAAGTTATTAAAAAAATAACTCAGACCTTCCACAAATACATTTAAATATATTGAAATGCATAGAAACATTGTAATATGTTCAGTCCTTTCCCATTTATTAAAGAGACTAGAGTATATAGACAGCCCTATGTCCTGGAGAATGACTCCTTAAATCAGACATGTCAAACTCAGGCCCGGGGGCCAAATTTGGCCCTCGATATAATTATATTTGGCACGCAAGATCATATCAAATATGTATTAGAGCTGCCTGCTGGCTACAGATAGGCTATAGAGACATTATTTATTTAAAATATTGTTATTTTGTGTTATGCTTGTTCTCGATTAAATGTTTAAGTAAAACTATAGGGTTTGACTTTACATATCTCAAGAGAAGTGAAAACATGCAGATGTTGTTGAGATTTTTCAATAAATATTTCATTTGGCCCACGACTTAGTCCCAGTTTTTAATTTTGACCCTCTGTGAATTTGAGTTTGACACCCCTGCTTAAATATTGAAATATTAAATATTTAAAAATATGTACCGCCTTAATTGTCAGTGAACTCTTTGTGAAACACTGACTACTTGTATTTAATAAACAGCTGAGCTTGTTGTGTTTTTGCTCAATCAAATTACTCTGTGTTTCTTGACATGCTGTTAAACGTTGATATTAACAGTTTGTATGTCATTTGTAGCCAGTGAGTCCCTGCCCTGTTATGAACATATAATAATCAAATACTTGAGTAGTTGCCTTGACAACATTGTTACATTCAATATTTTACATAGACTTATACAAAGACAAACTTTATTGATCCATAAGGGAAATTAGTTGGACACTGTAGCTCACACATCACAATATATTAGAATAACAAAGAGAAAGAAGGAAATAATATAAAAGTTAATAATAAATTCTAAATTAAAAAGTGTCTAGCATTTGCTCAATTTGTCAAAAAGCTAGCTACGTTTCAAATACAAAATTATTCAGGTTTGGTTGATTGTGATCCTCCAATCTAATCCAACTTTATTTGTATAGCACATTTTTTAAAACAAGACAGTTTCCAAAGTGCTTCACATAGCAGTGTAAAAAATGTTACTCTAAAAAGTCAGCAGAATTATGTTCCAAGCAAAAGGAACTAATAGATAAAAGAGTAATAATAAAATCAGTGGACAAAAATTATAAAATCAATAAATAAAGGCAGTACTAAAAATATAAAATAGATAAAATATAATAAATAAAAGACACAGAGGACCACACAACTCACGCGGTGTTAAAAGCCACAGAATAAAAGTGAGTCTTAAGACGAGACTTAAAACTCTCCACTGTGGGGGCTGTTTGGACGTGAGGGGGGGCAGAGCGTTCAAGAGTTTAGGGCCGACCACAGAGAAGACCCTGTCCCCCCGGTTTTAAGTCTCGTTTCGTCTCGCGTAAATCTGGATGAGGTCCGAGATCCTGGCTCAGACCTGGTCTTATGCTGGGTTTATCATCCCTCAGCCATAAACCTTACAAGAGCACAATCTAAAGTGTTGTTCTGTAATATTTCATAATTGTACTTTTACGATAATGATTTTGCTTTGTCTTATTTCTCTGTGTCCTCAGGCTGTGGTCCAAGCTGCTCGGGTTTCCCAAAAAAACCCAGACGAAAAACAGAACGGAGAGACAAAAATCGAGCCTGACAGGACGCAGTAAAAGCACTTTCAACATCTACAACAAAAGACCACACAGGTTTGTAGGAGAGGACACGAGCAGCGACAGCATGTGTGATAATGGAACAAGCGGAAATTAATGCTTGTGTGTGTGTGTGTGTGTGTGTGTGTGTGTGTGTGTGTGTGTGTGTGGAGACTGTTTGTAGGGGGTAAAGCCAGAACTTAAAAGTGCATTGTGTAACTTTTCCGGTGGAGGATCCGTCAAATCCTCTTTTCTCTGTGGAGATGTTATTGCTTTGTCTAGAACAGGCATGTCCAAACTACGGCCCGTGGGCCAAATGCGGCCCTCAGACAAAGTTTTCTTGACCCTCAGGCTTCCAGGTGAATTGGCCCAAATTACCTTGCATCAATTAAAATTACCTTTTTACTGCACATTTTTGGAAAATCTACCTTGATAAAGCTCATATTTAATATTTAATGCGTGTGGTTTTAAGAATCTTAGCATGAATAAAGACTGATTTCTCATTCTAACGTGTTAAATATGCACATATTTATTTACATATTATTCACTGTGCTGAGCATCCGTCTATGGCCCTCGATCAGTCCTCTGTTTCGTCTGTGTTTAGAGATGTGGCCCTTGATGAAAAAAGTTTGGACACTCCTGATCTAGAATGTTTTCACAGTATAGTATTAAACCTTTCTATATTCACTGAGACCAAACCAGACCAAGTTACAGGTCAGATCTGTGGAAAGTCAACCCCAGTCACAATCAGAATACAGTATTTTTGAGTTGAGTGTTTAATGTCACACTGCGGAACATTCCAGGCAGAGCAATGACATATCGGACCCTCAACCAAAAACTTACATAGTGCACCTTTAACCACGATTTAAAGCTGCACTATGTAACTTTTCTGGTCTCTATGGGGATGTTATCGCTTTGAAGAGAAAGTTCCACGGGACGGCATGAAAGTTCTCTATGTCCATGACAAGCAGGCCATGTTACAGGTCAGATCTGTGGAGAGGAGATCATGCTTATGGTTAGTGTTGGGAGTGTTACTTTTAAAATGTATTCCCCTACAGATTACAGATTACATACTCCAAAATGTAGTTTGTAACGTAATCCATGAAATTACTTAGTGAGTAATGTAATCTGAATACTTTGGATTACTTGATTTGCTGTAGAGAAGCAAAGACGAGGAAATCATTCACATTAAGAAGTTTTGTCTGATAAAAGAAAATAAAAAGCCCAGACTTTACTGAACCAAATTAAAAGTATTATTGATAGAAGACGAGGAGACACGTCCACACAGCATGGCTTAGTGCTGTTAAATCCTGTTTGAGACATAGTTTAGACCTGGTTTTAGTCCTGGTTTAGTCCTGGTTTAGTCCTGGTTTAGTCCTGGTTTAGACCTGGTTTAGACCTGGTTTAGACCTGGTTTTAGACCTGGTTTAGTCCTGGTTTAGACCTGATTTTAGACCTGGTTTAGACCTGGTTTAGACCTGGTTTAGTCCTGGTTTAGACCTGGTTTAGACCTGGTTTTAGTCCTGGTTCAGTCTTGGTTTTGTCCTGATTTAGACCTGGTTTAGTCCTGGTTTAGTCCTGGTTTAGACCAGGTTTAGAACTGATTTGGACTTGGGTTTAGACCTGGTTAAGACCTGGTTTGGAATTGGTTTAGAACCTGGTTTAGATCTGGTTTTAGACCTGGTTTAGTGCAATGAGTGGAATTACTGGAAGAAAACAAACAAAAAAAAAAAAAGGGGTATTGCCCAAAATGTGAAAACAGGAAAATACCTGTATGTAATCCATTTATTTCAACAAAGTAACTGTAATCCAATTACCACTCACTGAAACAGTAACTGTAACTGAATACAGTTACTCATAATTTGTACTCTGATTACGTAACTTCAGTACATGTAATCTGTTACTCCCCAACACTGGAGATAGTCTTCAGACACTGCAGAGGTGGAACAGATGAGTTCTGACATATCCAGCTCCTGTCTGCTCAATATTTAACTCCAGATTAAACTTTCATACCTCCAGCCCACGAGCAAGGCACTAACTAGACCTGGTGTAGTCCTGGTCCAGTCCGCTTGGGTCTTTCACTGCACGACGCTGATCATGTTCCAGCTGAAGCCGTAATTGATTTTCTATGTTATTTTGATTATTTTGTACCATTTTCAGCCAAACCAACGATACACGGAAGTCTTCATGTCACACACAACATCTCTCAAATGTCATTTATGAATATTTCACACGATGAATGCCTAACGGACTGCCATTGACCATGTTTGTGCTGTTAAATGTTAAAGTCCTCTTCTCATGCTCCATCTCACCCTCTCAACCCTATTTCACAATTAATTTCATTTTACTTTTTGCAGATCTCGGATTGGATGGACAGGCAAGAAAAAAATCATCTCGGACTTATTCATCAGCAAAACTCATCACCAGCAACCGAGCACAAGTGGACTCCTCTGGGATGCACCGGGGCCTTTCCTGTGGCCTGAGCTGATGAGCATGAGAACCCGACTGAAGACCGAAGACTGACAAGCTGAAAATGGAAGTAGTTCAGTGACTTCATTTTTGCATTGCTCGTATAAACTGGGATTTAGGAGGAAGACCGCTCCGTTTGGGACATAGTTTTGTGTTGTTTGTATCTTTGATCATGAGGCTTGATCATGAGAAACTGTCAAATAATGTTATAGTCAAATATTTGTTGTATTGATGATTTAATGTCTCTTTAGTGGTTTGATATTTAAAGTGAAGACTGAAGCCAAGCTATTTTGAGAAAAGTACTTCACGTAAAAGAGTATTTGAAGTCTTTTTTTTTTTTTTTTTTTCATGAAACAAGAACACAGTTTGGACTCACGATGTTACATTTTAATGTGTATTGTTTATTTTAAAATAATGAAGAAGGAATTTTCAAGTAAATTCTTTGTTGTTATTATTATCGGCTCATATCATTTACATTACAAAACATGCTCCGTCGGTCTCCAGGAAGAAAAGTTGATAGTTAAGGTCAGTAAATACAATCAATCAATGAACCTGCCCAGGGACGACAGGTGGAATTTAGCACTGGTGATACAACCTGGTACAAAGCATCTCTCCTGTTAAGGTTAGGTTAGGTTAAGGTGTCTCATTAAAATAAATACATAAAACTAGAAAAGCACTCAGAGAGCGCAGACCTCTGCCAAGGACTACAGTCCCCCTCATATTAATTGTGTTTTCCATAAATATTTGTCTCGTATCTTTCAATTTGGAATATGAAAGAGGATCCCATTGTCCATCCCTGAGTCAAATTTCATGGGGTTTGGTCAATAATTAACCGAGATATTGAGAAACAAAATTTTTGGCCCCATTTACCACAATGTTAACTAAAATTTCAAAGTGATCAAGAATCCAGGATTTCTTCCAGATCATCCCCAAAATGAAATCAGTTCTTCCTTTTCACATTTCCAACAAATCCTGAAAATTTCATCAAAATCGGTCCATAACTTTTTGAGTTATGTTGCTAACAGACAAACAAACAAACAAACAGACAAACAGACAAACAGACAAACGCCGGCAAAAACATAACCTCCTTGGCCGAGGTAATAAAATAAATAAAATTACATACATTATAAACACAAATAATGTTAAATTGCCGGACAAAAGATTAAAAGAAATAGACATCTGCTGCCACCTGCTGTTCATACGGGGACAAAAATCTATGATTAAAAACGCATTTGTTGGTACTCGAGGCAATATTCAAAGAGTGGGTGTACATTTTTGTAAACCAGCGGGTTGGTTTGCAGAAGAGTTTGTTTTTAGAGTATTGACATAATATAAAACAAATGTTGCGTAGTAGTTGTTTTGAGTTCAGAAGCACTGTAGCGTGTAGCCGGAAACTATTAGAAGAAGAAGAAGAAGAAGAAGATTTTTTTTTTTTTTTTTTAAATATAGAAACAATACAATATAATACAAAAAAAAAGTGCGTTTAAGAATAAAAAATGATAATAGCAACGGGAAGTAGAGTACATTCAGCCAGAGTTCATAAAGTCCAGGGGTATTTCACACATGTAGGAATACACTTTTTGAGGTTTAGGTCCATTCATATGTTTCAGAGTTTTTATATATAATCTGAGTTCGTTTTTAAAACAAGCAAAGTGAGGGGGACATTTCTGAATTTTACATTTGTGGATGTAAAATTTGACAAGACATAATATTAAGTTTACAGAGAGTTTTTATTTTTTATTTTGTAGTAGTACACCAAAAATTATAACATCTCTGTTTAACAAGACTGGTAAGGAACGAAATGTGGAATTGAGAAGAAGAAGAAGAAAGAAGAAGAAGACAGAAGTAGTAGTTGTTTTGAGTTGTTGAGATTGTCCCTCTCGTGTTTCCGTTGCCGCTGTCTGACAGTTCCATCATGGCGGCCTCCTCCTCAGCTTCACGTGAGTTGTTCACGGCTGGAGTACGGGCTGTTTTACACAACTGGCCCGTTTTACAGGTGAGTCTTACCGAAGAGAGATTGCTTAGATGTAAATGTGAGTCTGTGTTGTCCGATGAAAGCAAAAAGTTAGAAAAATAGACAATAAATACAGTGGGTTTATTTGGCACAGCTAACAAGCTAATGCTAACAACACGAGCCAAACACAGAGTTGGGAAGTTTACTTTTAAAATGTATTCCCCTACAGATTACAGATTACACACACCAAAAATAGTTTGTAACGTAATCCATTAAAAGTACTTAAAGTGAGTAACGTAAACTAAATACTTTGGATTACTTGATTTTCTGTAGAGAAACAAAGACGATGAAATCGTAACGTAAGATGTTTTGTCTGCTAAAAGAAAATAAAAAGCCCAGACTTTACTTAACCAAATTAAAAATATTATTGATAGAAGACGAGGAGACACGTCCACACAGCATGATTTAGTCCTGGTTTAGTCCTGGTTAAGACCTGGTTTTAGACCTGGTTTAGACCTGTTTTTAGACCTGTTTTAGATGTAGTTTAGATCTAGTTTAGACCTGTTTTTTGTCCTAGTATTAGTCCTGGTTTAGACCTGGTTTTAGACCTGTTTTAGACCTGGGTTTAGATCTAGTTTAGACCTGGTTTAGTTTCCGGCAATGAGTGGAATTACCGAAGAAAAGAAGAAAAAAAAAAAAAAAAGGGGGAGGATATAGCCTAAAATGCAAAAACCGTAAAATCCCGCAGTGTAATGCATTTATTTCAACAAAGTAACTGTAATCCAATTACCACTCACTGAAACAGTAACTGTAACTGAATACAGTTACTCATAATTTGTACTCTGATTACGTAACTCCGGTACATGTAATCTGTTACTCCCCAACACTGGTCAAACATGATGAAGACTGCACTGATCATTCCATGTGGCGTTTTCTGTATTTCAGTCACTGTTGGGTTAGTTACTTTAAAACTGTAATGTGTTATTTTTATTACTTATTATTGTCATTTCAAAGTAATTCGTTACTTTACAATATTACTGCATTTAAAATGTAAAACATTACACGACTATTACAGCACTTTTAAATTAATCTCACTAAAATAACTGTGAAGATGCTGAATTTTTGCGCCATATATGGACTGAACCAGGACTGAACCGAGGACTAAACCAGGACTAAACCAGGTCTAAACCAGGTCTGAACCGAGGACTAAACCAGGACAAAACCAGAATTGAACCAGGACTGAACAGAGGACTAAACCAGGTCTAAACCAGGACTGAACCAGGTCTAAACCAGGACTGAACCAGGACCAAACCAGCACTAATCTTGGACTAGAACTTAGAATCTAGGACCACCCCTGAGAGAACCTCGAGTCCGTGGAACAGGGTGTCTGCAAGGAGTGATCTGGCCTTGCAGACACCACTTCAATCCAGGTTATAAAAGCATTGTAACGCGTGTTACTGACATTTGACTATTTTTTTCCCTGTAATGCCTTACATTACTGTGTTACAGCAAAAAGCAACACATTACAGTATTTCGTTACTCTTATAATGCGTTAGTCCCAACACTGATTTCAGTTTTCAGTTTGTATGATAAATAAACCGCGTGTTTAGTGTGTGGACAGTGTGTGTTTTGATTTTGTATTAAGTTGTACCTTTTATCTCTTTTAGATCGCTGTAGATAATGGTTTTGGAGGAGTTTACGGTCAGCAGAAAGCAGACTGGATGGTGGATGTGCTGCAGCAGTATTTTCATGACAATGGTGGGAAATGACTTAAGCTCATATGAAAATGTAGTAAATTATTGCGACGTTTCGATCTTAGTTAAACAATTTCAACATTTGTGCTTTTGGGTATGATTCTACTTCAGTTTCTTCCCAACTTGTAAACTGGGAAATGCAGTCAGATAAAGTTTTGAAGAATTGAATGAGTTTGTGAGACTTTTATAACTTGTGTAACTCTTAACTTTGTATTGTAGCTGACCTGCAGCAGTTTGAGGTGGAGGACTACATCTCCACTCTGATGGATCAGGAGTTTGACACAGTCGTGGATGATGGAAGTTTACCTCAGGTAGGAAAAGAATAAAAATAATCCCACCTGTTTGTTTTTTAATCTTTTGAATGTATTGTTATCAATGGAAATATGCCGATGTCTCTGGTTTGTCTTGAAATTTTAGTTTTGTATGTATTGTACAGAGTAGCCACAGGGTCTTAAAAGTCTTAAAAAGGTCTTAAATTCCATGTTCCTAAATTAAGACCTTAAAAAGTCTTAAATTGTGTTGTCCAAATCTAATTTTTTTCACAAAGGTCTTAAATTTCATCAGCCTATTTTCTTGTATCCTCAACCGGGCTGCAGTGGGAGGAAAAAAAAACCTTGAAATCATGTAAAGTGAATGAAGTCTAATTTGGAGTATGTGCAAACAATAGTTACTTTGTCTTGTTAGAATTTTATAAATGATTTTTTGGCCATTTTACAAGCAATGCATACAACTATAAATGAGTTTTGAATGAGACTTTATAATAAAAGTACTTTTTGTTATTTAAAACAGTGAGTAATGGTCATTATTAGAATTGAATCTGGTGTTTTTCGCCCGCATAATGGGTGCGATGTTGGTCTTAATTTTCATTTAAGTGGTCTTTAAAAGGTCTTTAAAGTCTTAAATTTGGGGTAGTCAAACCTGGAGATACTCTGATTGTCCAAATTAAAGCTACGCTGAAAGTTTCATCTATGTTCCCTGTATTGTCCCTGTAGATATCCAAGGACCTGCTTCAGATGTTTGGTCAGTGGAAGCAGGGGGCGCTACAGCAGCTGCAGGCCTCCATAGCCAAACACAGTCAGAACAAACAAAGGGCAAAGGCCACTGCAGCTGCTCCAGAGTCCGACTCAGGCCAAGAGAGCGACTGTGACGATGAGGTTTGTATTTCTAAATGATATATTAGGTATTTTACAATTACTTTTTTGCAATAATTCAACAGTTGTGGTTGAATGTAAAGGTGAAATGATTAATAAAAATTCTAATATATGAAAAGGTTTATGCTTTGGATTAACTCTGATTTCTGTCATCAGTCTATGGAGTGCGACGCTGCCTCTCCAGTCGTTAATGGGACACATCCTGCAACAAACTCTGTGCCTTCATCTTCATCAGCGGTGAATGAGGAGGAAGATGATGGCTGGACGGTCGTACGGAGGAAGAAATAACATCTCAAATGAACTGATAATCTTAACCCAAAGGAGCTGAGCGGCAGATGGACAACTTTTACTAATTAAACTACAAGAAATCATGCTTCAATACCAACTTCTGGTTTGACATCTTGGGACTTGTTACACGTGACAAAATGCAGGACACTTTTATCTCCAAGCATTGAATGACACAGAAAACACAGACTATTTTAAAGAACTGGTAAAAGTCAGATGTGGTGTATGCATTTGGAAAAAGTAAGGTAAACTTCTTGGTGTGTTTTTAAATAAAGCTGGTGTCACGGCTGTAGTGATCGGTCTTGCTGTTCAGTGAGACATGGGAATTAGGAATGTGAGATTTTAATAATTTCAAAAAGAATTAAGCAAAATTTCTAAAACGTACATTTGAGTTTTTTTTAAATAATACCTTTAGCGTTTTGTCCTGTCTCATTCACAAAACACATTTTCCCCAGTTCAGCACTAATGTTGACTTCCCCAGGACACATACTTGTACATGTTTTAGCAGTATTATTAACAGACGTTTCAACATTCACCACAGCCAGTGTTGGGAGTAACAGATTACATGTACCAGAGTTACGTAATCAGAGTACAAATTATGAGTAACTGTATTCAGTTACAGTTACTGTTTCAGTGGGTGGTAATTGGATTACAGTTACTTTGTTGAAATAAATGGATTTAACATTTTGGGCAAAATCCCCCCCTTTTTTTTTTCTCCCATAATTCCACTCATTGCCGGACACTTAACAAGGTCTAAAACCAGGTCTAAACTAGGTCTAAAGTAGGTCTAAACCAGGTCTATACCAGGTCTAAACCAGGTCTAAACAGGTCTAAAGCAGGACTAAACCAGGACTAAACCAGGTCTAAACCAGGTCTAAACCAGGTCTAAAGCAGGACTAAACCAGGTCTAAACCAGGTCTAAACCAGGTCTAAACCAGGTCTAAACTAGGTCTAAACCAGGTCTAAAGCAGGACTAAACCAGGACTAAACCAGGTCTAAACTCGGTCTAAACCAGGTCTAAAACCAGGTCTAAAACCAGGTCTAAAACCTGACTAAACCAAGCTGCGAGGAGCGTGTCTCCTCATCTTCTATCAATAATATTTTTAATTTGGTTCAGTAAAGTCTGGGCTTTTCATTTTCTTTTAGCAGATAAAACATCTTATGTTACGATTTCCTCGTCTTTGCTTCTCTACAGCAAATCAAGTAATCCAAAGTATTCAGATTACATTACTCACTTTAAGTAATTGAATGGATTCCGTTACAAACTACATTTTGGGGTATGTAATCTGTAATCTGTAGGGGAATACATTTTAAAAGTAACACTCCCAACACTGACCACATCTTATTCAGCTGTTCAAAAGGAAAGTAAGAAAAAAACAAACAATATTAAATACACAAGAATTAATGTTATGACATCCTCAAAGCATCATGTGGGACCTTTAACTATTATTGCAGAGCAGAAATGTTGGAGTACAGTGAAGTGTTTTGAGTTTGCACTGCAGAGTAGATCACTGCCTCAGCCCGACTGTGGGGGGCGCTGTTCCTGCTGAAGTCTGTCACCTCAGAGTACAGCCCTGAGTCCACCTGCACACACCAGGTACAAGTTTGTTGATGTTGTAGTTCTGTTGTGCGTCCTGATGGAGGCGATAATATTACTAGAAGTGCAAAGTAGTGGTCCAAGAAATTACTCAGGAGTAAAAAAGTACTGGAAAAGTACTATGTAACTTAGTAATGAAAAAGTACAACTACTTAGTGCTACTTAAAGTAACTTAAAGAGTAACTGTCTGTCTAATTTATAATTTAAAGTTAATGCAGTTGGAAGGACAAAACATTAAATAACACACAAAATTTGCTATTTTCAAAGGAAATCATATCTAAAGGAGCAGTGTCTGGTGACTTAATCAGTGGGAAGAGTAACTTAAGTAATAGTACTGTTACTTCAATCAAAATTTTACCCAAGTAGGAGAAAAAAAACCCTGCTAGAAAAGTACAATTTCTATAAAAATAGTAAATATAATTGAGTAAATGTAACAAAGTACCACCCACCTCTGGTCTTTAATGCAGACAGACAGAGATCATAATTCCTGCTCAAACCTCGAGTGACTTGAACAATGGCGACTGTTACACGCACTCAAAATCTGATTATTATGAGGCTTTTGGAGTTTTAAAATGATCAAAATGACATGTAAACAAATCTGAAGCAAGTAATCTGATTTCTGTCTGATTATGGTCCCTCACATTAAGCTTATCAGATTTAGAAGTTTGTATGTTATACTTATAATTCACTTAAATTTCTCTAAACAAAAATGTTCAAATATTATAAAGTCACTCATGACCAGTTTCAGGTATATCTTCAGTTATATTGTTATTGCAAATTTTCTCTTTTATATCCTTATTTTAAAAAGCCCTACCCTAGTTCTGAATATTTCCTGGTTTAGTTTTGAGTAAACCCTGTATGAGTATATTAAACTCAACTTACAG